ATGAATTTACTTTAAGAACACATTTTCTAAGACTTTTATCGGTACGCGTATCTCGATAATATGAAACGCGACTAATTAATTAATCCGGTGCTAGTGCATAATAAATATATATATATATATATATATATCGCATATATCGCTGATTACTTTCTAGCAATTGAAATCGACGCACATACAGTTATAAAGTCAAGACTCGGGGGTGTCCGAGAACTGAAAGACCGTCCCGGCTAACTCCACGCATTGCTTATATCGAAATCCATCGAAACCGGTCAGGGCTGACGAGGAAAAAGATACGCTCCCAGTTTTCACATTTTTGTCGTTTTGGAGATAATATAATAGCTTTCACTTTCTATGCCAATAGTAACACATTTGATATTAACAATTCCGTGTGTCACGAAATATATATATATATCTCCATATACTTTCCAAAAAAAAAAAAAAAAAAAAATTTCCTGCCTCACAAGTTGTGCACAAAAAAAAAAAAAAAAAAAACAAAATTAATTCTCCAACCCTCTTTTTCATTACACCTATATATTTCAGATTACTTAAGATTACTTTTTCTGTTATCTAATGACCTGGTATATCTTAAAGAAGTGCCAATGAAATTGCACAACTTTATCCCGTTGAAGAAAGAGAGAGAGAAAAAAATTGAAAAAAAAAAAAAAAAAAAAAACCGGTATTATAGTTGAATTATGTCATTTTTTTTCTATCTCTCCTTACACCAGAGAAAATTGTCGATCAAGAAAATGAGTTAACTTTATATATAGGTGGGATATTCTTTTTTAGATTTTTAAATTAATTACACATCCCTCATCGTTTTTATTATAATTTTGATCGAATCAATATTTGTTAATGACCCACCCACCCCCCCCCCCCTCTCCAAGGAAGGTGAAAATTGAAATTGTCACTTTTAAGATGGGAATCGGCTAAAAAAAAAAAATTTAATAGCTTAAGGTGTATATAATAAAGTAAGTGATGGTGACATTAAAAATTATTTTTAAAAAAACGTTGCCTTTTCTTTCTTTACACTTTTTTTAGGAAATAAATTTTTTTAAAAACTGTGCAAAAAAAAATTGTTTTTTTAAAAAAAAAAAATAAAATTTAATAAAATATTTTTTGAAAAAAATTAATAATATTGATAATTCAAATATTGGAAAGAGAATGTTAAAATGTCCTATTAAAATGGAAATTCAAATATGAGTTAGTAATTTCAAAAAAAAAAAAATCACCTATATAGACGCATAACCCTCTCTTTTTGCTCTCTCGTAAATTCGGAAGTTTTTCATTTGTGGTGAAAAAAAAGAAATTATAAATTTATTTTAAATTCAATATTGAATTTCTATAGTATACCCTGAAGCTATATATATGCAATGTGAGGTCGATGTCACTATAGACATGGTCAAATTCAGTACCAACATATATTTTCCCGGAAGTGGAAGTCGTTTTCAATCAAATTCTTGTTTTTTCCACAATCATTTTTCATCAGATATTTGAAGCTTGGAATTGGATATTTGTTTATTTCTTAAATTTTTCTTTAATTTTTTTTTAAAATTACATTTTTTATCAACTAACTTTGATATTTTTTTGAAAAAAAACATAAAAAAAAATTATTAAAACAGAAAAATATTTTTTTAATTAGATTTTACTTAAAGTTTAATAATAAATTTGCGAATTTAAATTTTCTTAAATAGATTTCAATTATGTATTTTTAATTTGAGAATAATTTTTCTTTTCACCTAAGGTGCAAATGTATAATGTCATTTCGAATTTCACTTTTATTGTCACTATCATTTTCACTTTTAACTTTCACTTTCATTTTGAATTTAATTGGAATTTTTCAGTGAAAAATAAAAGTGAAATTGAAAGTGAAAATAAAAGTAAAAATGAAAGTGCTAATGAAAGTTTTTACATTCACACACATTGAAAAAGTTTGCTGTGACAGCGAACTATTTGCTGTCACATCAAATTACGTTAGCTAATATAAGAACAGCGAACAAATTTGCTGTGAGGTCAAAAAAGTTTGCTGTGACAGTAAATTTTTAAAAATTAACACTGATATTGTTTATCACAGCAAACTTTTTCGTTGTCATAGAAAAAAAATTTATCCGTGGTTACTAAGTTTGATAGATCCGATAGCAAATATCAGTTACCATTTGTAAACAATTCTGGATCTATCAAACTTAGTGACCATAGCTAACTTTTTTTTCTATGACAACAAAAAAAAATTTGCTGATATAAACAATAACAATGTTAATTTTTAAAAATTTACTGTCACAGCAAACTTTTTTGACCTCACAGCAAATTTATTCGCTTTTCTTATATTAGCTAACGTAATTTTGATGTAACAGCAAATAGTTGGCTGCTAAAGCAAACTTTTTCTATGCGTGTAATTTTTTCTTATTATATTACCATTATTATTAAATTTTTTTTCCATTTTTCACTTAAATTATAAATAATAAAGCTCACTTAATAATAGTAAAGCTACTAATTAATTATAATAATTCTTAAGTAATTTTGCAAACAAGAAGATGATTAAATCGACTACATATATATAAATGTATATCTATATAGTGCATAGGATGTAAGTCGTAAAGCAACAGGTTCTAAAGTGGATATCTCAATAGTCAGAATTTCTCTGACACGAGATTTATCTCTTTCGCACGATTTCCATCCTCTCGCGTGAGATTTTAAATCATTTTGATAACGTCTTTTGGGGGGAGAAAAAAAAATTTGACACTGAGAATATTATTCTTAGAAAAAAGTACATTTATGACTTTCAGATTTGAAAAAAAATTCAGAATTCAAAAAAAGTATTAAATATTTATACAGCAAATCATTTCTTAACTTTTTTTTTTTAAAAATTGAATCAATAATTTCTGTATTTGAAATAAATACAATTTAATTTATTCGAATAATAATTATTCGATACAATATTTATTTTGAAAATAGTCAAGTAATCGAGTATTTAAATCAAATAAATTTTTTTTTATATTATTTTTTTGTTAAGCATTATTTTTTTTGACTTCAAGGAAATGGATAAATGTATTTCAAATACATAATCCAATTATAGAAGAAACATATAAAAAATTTAAAAATTAATTTTCAAAAAATTTCCAAAATATGAAAATTATAAAAATTAATACAAAAACTGAAACTTCAACTTTAAGGTTATGTTTCATTTTCTATATATGTGACGCCCTCAGAAGAAAGAAAAATAAGAAACAAAAAATATGTATAGGTTATGTTTATGATAGTTTTACCTTGATTAAAATTTCATTTATTGAATTTTATAAAATGAAAATCAATTTTTAATTTGGATGATAATGAAAACTCAATGGTTTTTATTGAAAGTTGGATCTTCTTTGTGTATTTTCACTCCAAACTATCATAAACATAACCTATAATATTTTTTTCTTCTTGGATTATTATTATTATTATTATTATTATTATATATCATTCACTCACAGCAACGGATGTTTTAGAATATTCTAAATGGACGTTCTAGAGATATCATTCGGTCCAGGGAAATTATGATATCCCTAAGATATTCCAAGAATGTCTGTGGACGTCTTATGGAAATACTAAGGATATTCTAATTTACCCGGGTAAAATGATATTTTTAGGGCATTAGTAGGATATCCTGAATATCCGGAATCTGTTAGGATTATATATTATTTGTATTATATATTATTTTATTAATTTATAAATTATTTTTACCTAATTAATTAAATTAAAATTATACACAATTTATTATTAGAATAATCATAACACAGAGGTATTCAGAATATCCCTGGGAATTCCTATGGATATCTTTTGACTTTTGGCGGTTTGGAAATTCCCTGGGACGTCCTAGGGATATTTTTTACTTTTGTTGGTTTTGATATTTAAGGGATTTCCTATGGATATTCATGGATCTCCTTTAAACACCCTAGGGATATTTTTGAACTTCTTCCGTTTTGGATATCTCAGGGATATCCTAAGGATGTTTTTGTACTTTTTCCGCTTTGGATATCCCAGGGATATCCATGGATGTCCCTAGGATATCTAAACCGATAAAAATTAAAAGATATCCCTAGGACGTCTCAAGGATATCCTGAATATTCCTGTGTTTTGAGGGAGAAAATTAAAATTAAAACCCCATCGACAAAAAATTATGGCAAACTCATTGGAAACTCTTTGAAAAGTGTGATTTTAAAAAATCACATTGTAATCCTCCCTAACAACATTGGGATATTTAGTATATTCTATTGACGTCCTAGGGATATCATTTGGTCTGAGGAAATTAGTATGTCCATACGATCTTCCAGGAATATCCTGAGGACATCCTAATTTCCTCGACCCAAATGATATCCCTAGAACATCCGTAGGATATCTTCGAATATCTGTTGTTATTTGGGCTATTTATAAATCTTACAGTAACAAAAAAAAAATGTTCTCTCCAAATTCTACACAAGACAAAATTCGTCAAAAAATATACAAATTAACAAAAGACAAAAAAAAAAGTAAAATGAAAAATAGTCAATTTAAGGAGTTGAAGATGATAAAAAAAAGAGGGTGTTTAAAGACTTGTACATAAAGAAGGAACAAAGTTTTAAGAAGAAATCAAGTAATTAGTTGAGTGGTGCACTTGGTCTCGGCACCGACTAGTGCAGCAAAAGGCTATGTATTTGTGTGTATCTGTGTTGGTTTTGAGGGAGAGAAGGGAAGGAGGAGGACTAGGGCAAGTCTCGACTGACGTACAAGACGAAGTAAAGAACCACAGCAAACCACTACATCTTTATATATATATCTGTATACATATCTAACTTATTTCTACTACTTTTGCTTGTATATAGTGACCACCTTACCCCCCTTTTTCTTACCTATTGGGTGGACGAGACCACCACACACACACACAACTCAGTATGAGGAGGATTATGGTTTTTCTCTATATACAAGAGAGAAGGAGGGGGCGGTTTTGGGGGGGCAAAGGGGGTGTTCAATGCGCGGCTTTCGAAAGGATGGTGATTGTGGAGCGTGGCCAGAGTCAGAGTTAGGCGTATAAAAGGCCCGTCGACCCAGCCTAAGTCAGTCATTCACCGCACTACCAGTCCACCACACACAAACCAAACATGAAGGCCTTTGTGAGTATTCCACCAAGGTGGTTTAACAAAGGGTTGTCTTTTTTCGGGGCTTCTTTCTGTTTGCAATCAATAATTCTAATTTCAAAAAAAAAATATTTTTTCAAAAATTTATTACTAAATTAGTAATTCCGTTTCTCTACTAACTAATTTTCACTTTTATATTCCATTTTCATTAGTTTTTCATTTTACTAAATTGCAATTTTTCAAAAGTGTAAAATCATTTCTAATTCGTGAACAGTTTTTTTTATTTCTAAAATTGATTCGATTCAGTGTTGTTTTTTTTTAAGAGTAAGTTTTTCAATGACAATGAACATCATTATCATCGAACTCTTTCTCTCACGACTTTCATTCACAATAGAAGAATCTTTGTAGTATATATATATAAAACCGGTTCGGTTCGGCTTGTTAACGGTGCTGGTTGTAAATATAAATCGCATAGTAGAGGAGATCATCATTGAGAAGCAAAAGCAAAAGTCACCAGGCGACTCGTCGTCCTCGGTGCGGTTACATCTTCATTCACTAAAAACCCGTCAATGAATTGCATAATCTCATCTTGATGCTCCTCGTGTTTCCCGCTTATAAAATCAAGCAACGTGTTACATTTTCATCCAAAAAAAAAAAATTTCTCATTTCCCTCTAATTTTCTATCTAGTACAAAAAAAAAAATTAACCAAAAAATTAATTACTATTCCAAAGGGAACTGAATTTCAAAAATAATTTTTCTCCCCTTAATTTTTCTCGGTAATTAAAATTATGACAAAAAAAAGGGAAATACAAATTTCAATATTAAATATATTATCGTTTCTAAAACGGGATGTGAAAGTTGTAGAGCTCGTTAGATATATATGCATAATTTGCCATTTTATTTCTGCATACAGTATTTCCTTAAAAGATTGGGTGGGGGGGGGGAGGCGTAAAACTAATATTTCACAAGGGTGTCAATTTCCCGGCAAAGAAAATTAAAAAAAAAATAATAAATTTCAAAATATCACTTCCTTGAAAAAGAATTTTTTTTTGTAAATTTTTCTCCGAATAGAAATTGGGTAATAAAAAAACTCACAGAAATTAGTAATCTCTGGTAATTTAAATCGCAAAAGTCGTTTTGTCCTCTATTTCTTTTTTGCCTTACAAAGAGCTAGATAATGAGAGATCAATTAATTATGAATCTCGTGCGACTTTATGGGATTACGTTATACCTCGATTGCATAAAATCGAATCGCTCTTTTTTTTTCCCCCCCGTTCTAACAAGTACGTAATGCCAAAGAATTTTTCCCCTAATATGGTCCTGCAAGGCGTGGCCCGGTTGACCGAGGTTGTTAAACTATGCGAGAAAATGCAATCGGTGCACTATCACTCCAATTACGAAACGTTACAGCAGTGTATAAATTTTCTCTCTCTCTACTATAGTAGCTTATTACTTGTTTTTATGACATAACAACCCCCTTTGAAGCAATTATATTTCTTTTTTTTTCAAACTTTTGATTTTAAGAAAAATTAGTCTTTGAATAATTTATATTGATATATATATATAATATTTGAAAGTGAAAGTTTTTTTTGATCGCTTCCGTGAAAGAATATGAAATTATTATTTTTTTTTAAAATAAAATTCAAATACAGAAAAGTGCAGCACTCAATGTTTCCTTTGTTGTGAGGCATCCAGTGGAATCTTATTCTTCTATTACTAAAAGGAATTCTTTTATTCCAGATTGTGCTCGCTTGTCTCGCCGTTGCATCGGCTTATCCCGGAGGACACACCGGATATGGAGGTTATGGACATGGAGGTTATGGACATGGCCTCAGTGGTGGTCTTGCCGCTGGAGCTGGTACCGCACACTCCCTCCAAGGTGGTGCATCTAGCTTGGGATCCGGTGGTCTTGGTGCCAGCTATGCTGCTGGTGCTGCTGCTGCCGCTGGTGCCGCAGGAGTACAACAAGTAGTATCCGGTGGAGTTCTCGGTGGAAGGTCCGACATTGGACCCGCTGAAGGACCAAAAGCCAACGTTGGACCCCAAACTGGACCATCAGACCTTGTTGGACCCCAAGAAGGAGCTAAATCCATTGGTGGACCACGTACCGGACCATCCAGTCTTGTTGGACCAGCTGCTGGACCATCCACCCTTGTAGGACCATCCCAAGGAACTGCCACCCTTGTTGGACCATCCCAAGCCACCGCTAACCTCGTTGGACCCAGCTATGGAGGTGTTGCCTTCTACGCCGGTGCCGGTGGAATCAACGGTGATGACGGTAGCTCTGGCTCCGCCGCCGCTGCTGCTCCAGGAGGTGGATTCGGTGGTTAGTATAAAATCATCTAAATCATCTGAAATCAAAAATCATCAAAAAAATTATAATCAACAAATTAAAATTTTAGGTCTTGGAGGTGCTGGTGCCATCGCCGTCATTGGAGGAGGTCCAGGAATCGCTGGAGGAATTGGTGGACATGATGCCGGAGTTGCTGTGATCAATGGACCATCTGGCGCCATCCACGCCGGACTTGGCTCCCATGGAGCTATCATCCCCCATGGAAAATGGTAGACGAAACAACATCTCAGCGATCTCGGCACGGCGACGGCGGCAAACCCACCACAGTTTTACCGGTCAAAGAACTTCAAACGCGCTCAACGTCTTCTTCACCACCCCACCAAAGTTTTTTCTCTCACATTATAAATTCACAAATACACCTTGAAGTATAAGTCCAGTGAATATAGTCAAGTGACTAATTCAATAGACAAAAGAAAAAAAACGGCCAGTGGAATAGAAGAAAAATCTAATCGCTCCTTTTTAAAATTCTGACAAAAAATATCATCGGATTATCAACCGCGATCCTTGCCCGATACTTTTCGGGCAATTTGGAATCCAGGAAATTTAGTCAATTCCCGCTCATCCTGAGTCCGCGGAGAGTTAATCAATTGTCAGAAATTTTGGACGATTATTAATTTCGACAATTCCATTTTGTGCTCCAATTATATCATCATTTGGTTCGACGGTGTTAATTTGTGGAAAAAAAACTTTGGCGCTTTACACACGGAGTATGAAAACAACTGGGATTTATTCTGTTTTCTGAATATCCTGTGTTGTTTTCTACTCTCTCTCTTTTCACACTTACGTTTCTTTTTACCATCTTTTCGTAAGTCGCCGCTCTCACGCACATTATTATATATTTTTATTTTTTTTTTTTATTCCCACCACCCCTCGAGATGGGGCACATGGTGCTTGCGCCACGTGCCTCACGTTGTTATACTCACTGCCGCACCCAAGCATACATTATATTATCACATACTCGTCCATGCGCATATATGTCTTCTTTATATATATATATATAAATAGGTATATATTTTTTATATGTACTTTCTTCTACTACTTCTTCTTCTTCACAAATTATATATATATATATATACCATACACATTTACAAAAAATATACCATATGTGTATAATCGTTTATTCGTATATATATATATATAAAATGCAAATACATGTACTCGTGTTTATTGTTAGTGAAGGAGACCGGTAGATTATGGTAGGTCAGCCGTTCCCCTGAGTGAATGAATGTACATAGATGGCGCGCCGCCGCCGGCCCCCGACCCCGCCCGCCCTCGTCATACCCTTTCTTTTGCGATCACGACTAGCACCCCACCAGCCACCATAGATAGATACCACGTATTTATAGCGTTTATACATTTATACAATACTTTATATAAAATAAAGCATCAGTATTTAAAACTCATATTTTTTTGTCAATCTTACTTTTTAAATCTTTCTCTTTTTTTCCATTTCCTTTTTTCCACTTTATTTAAAGTTAATATAAATTTAAATATATTTAAAATGCAAAAGAAAAATTTATTTCTTAATTTTAACTTCAACTAAATGTTTATAGAAATACTTATTCTTTTTTGTATCAATATACGAATTGTTTAATTATTTACTCTTCTATTATTAGTATAGTAATAAGTAAAGTATTTTGATACTTATTTTTACTAATTCAAAATATTTGCTAATATTTGAAATCATTTTTTTGAAATTAGAAATTTTAAATAAATATACACTTAACAAAAAAAAAAACATAACACTATGTGTAATAACAAATAAAAAAAAAACCTGCAAAATGAGTTCAAGACTCAATTTGAAGTGCAACAAAAATTAGCCAATGCTTAACAACATAGAAAGTGGTGCCATCTTACTGACTCATAGCACTTTAAATTGAGTTTGAATTCAACTTATTTTGAGTTGAATGTTTTTTCTGTGTATATAACAAAACAAAACTGAAAAAATTCCAACATTCTCAATAGCAACATTGAGAATTAATTTTCAACTTACAAATTTGCAGTAATCGGATCACTGACGAACCGTACGTCGAAGTGAGCCAATCGCGAAGTAGGTGGTAGTTTGTACATTTGTTGCTAGTGTCGTGAACAGTGAGCAGCATGCTACCATTTGACATACAAACAACAGCTGAGCACGAAAAAAATAAATAAAAAGCACGTGAAATACGTGATTTGACTAGACAGAGACGAACAGAGACTATAAAACAAAGATGATAGTATACTGCACACTGTTCATGTACCTGCGAAATTAGCGACAAACTTTCGAACTACCACATTCTTCGCGATTGGTTCACTTCAACGTATAAGTGTACTCGTCGATGATCCGCATTCAGCATACTGTTCCGTCTTTTCTTGTGTGAGCACCCTAAGGAAACCGATCACGCTATAGAAAGTGCTTCGAAAATGTACGAAATATACCAAGTTCACTGCATTCTACTCAACTAATAATCTAGTTACGCATGCGCACCAAACATCTGTGTTGTTTCTCATTCAAAGTATGCTAGTAAGATACAACGTATTTTAAAATTTAAACGGTTTTGTGATTTAGAGATTAAGTGTTTACAATTATTATTATCGTGTTAATTTAGTGCTAATTCAGTGTTTTTTTTTTTTTTTTGAAAGGTGCTTGCACTTTAAAATTTCTTGTGGGTTTTTAATCTTTGAGGTTCCTAGAATATTTTAAAAAATATATATTTAGGAGCTAGTTAGACATGGAGAATAGACTACTCTCTAAATTTGAATTAGCTAAAATTTCACTGTTTGAATCAGCGAATAAAGTTTTCACTGCAAATCAGCGGATACAGCTAATAAAATAGCGAAACATGAATCGGCGAACGTCGGTCATTTTCGTCGGAAGATAAATTTATTTTTAAAATGGAGTATTTCGCTGATTGAAATAGTTGTTAGTCGCTGATTCGCAGCTGCATACTTATAGCTTTTTCAATCAGCGACAATTCGCTGCCAATCAGCGGATTTTAGATAATTCAAATTTAGAGAGTACAGGAATGGGATTACAAATAGCGACAGCGCTACGAAGATTTCACTACGTAGCGATTCAAAGCTACATTCACATTAAAAAATTTTCTAGCTATCGGGTGACTTAAAAAAATGGTATCATTTTGATAGATATAGGTTGGTACAATTGTTTTTCTGTGCAGTTTTTTTTCTCATATTTGCTTTATTTTATAATTTAACAATTTTTTTTTGGAATCAAGAATGTATCAAATTCATAAGGATTTCCCACGATGAAGAAATGAAGCAATTTAAAGAAGTATCTAAAAGGCTGACAAATTTTTCAAGTGTAACACTTCACATCTCAAAAGTTATAAAAAGGCAATTCGAGGCAATGATAATTATTAATATTATTACATTAACACTTTTATTTCCAATTTCTATCCTTACAAAAAAACAAGAAAATAATTCAACTTTATCCATTAATAATAAACTATTTACTTTTCTTTTTTATATTAATAATTAAATATTTATTGCATTTATATTTATTATCTTTTTCATAGGATTAAAAGTTTCTATTAGACATTGTCTAAAATGGGAAAAAAATTTAATTAAAAAAATTTTGAAGATATAACCTCAGAAATAGAATTTTTGTTCTCACGCAAGGGTTCACTAGAAAAATGTATAGGGCATTTTTGTGATTTAAAGAGATTTTCAAAAAATAAAAATTTAAATTAATTTAATTAAAAAATAATTAATTTAATTTAAAAAATTTATCAATTTTTAAATTTAGGCTGGTAAAGAATATCCTAATTTTAAATCTCATGCAATTATTATTTTTAATTCTTGCAATAAGATTAATTTTCTTAATTTTTATTTATTAAATTAAATTAAAAAAATTTATTTCCCTTTATAAATTATTTTAACATTAAACTAGATAATTTATTTTTAAAGTTGTTATTTATTAAATTAATAGGTTTTTTGCAATATTAAAGTATAATTTATTTGGTCACTAGTTAATTATTTTATTTGAAACTAACAATTGGCAAACATGAAGTTAGAGAATTGATTCCACCTTCATATTGTATTTGTTTGCTACGTAGATAAAATATTTTAGGAAATTCACATGAATTCTATGTCAATGTCCTTATTTAGAGGGGTTATGTTTATAGTTTCTTCTAAATTACCATCTTGCAGTTTAAGCTTTGAAGAAATTGTCAACGGCATTTTATTTTGGTCATGATTTGGAACAAATTTCACTAAAAATATGTAAGTTTTTAATTCTAATTAACGAAACGCGCTAAATAGCGACTAGCGCTATTAGAAATCCCACTGCAGGAGACCAATCTTCCATGCATTTACTTCTTTAAAATGGTGCCAAGATTCGTCGTAAGCTAAGACAAGTACTCATACAGCCCCATAGGTGGCTGTGTTGTTGTTTTGAATAACATAACCTGAATTTAGGTATATTTTTATGTTGGATAATAAAAATAGACCAATATTGGAAAGTAAAGGCAATTTTTTTTACAAATAAGTTAATAATAATTATTTATTTGTTGTTATTTTATAAATATGAGAGATTCTTTTTCAATCGCCCCAGCCCAAAAAGTCAATGTTCTGGGATTGGCTTCATACTTTGGTAAATTGTTCTCCTATATGATAGTAATAAATCCCTAAAATATAAACTCATTAAAAAAATATTTGTAGAAAGTAGAGGGGGTTGAAGTTTTGACGTTAAGGGTAACATTGTCATTTTCAAATCCGTATAACTATGACAAAAGTTTAAGGATTTTAAATGATCAATAATGAATTTTAATGCATTTTTCACGTACTTTTCAAAAATGTATACGAAATTTAAAAAAAAAATTTTTAAACCCTTTTTTTTCAAAATCAACCCTTATTTTTCGATTTTCACCCCTTCGGGTATTTTTTTTTTTTTTTTTATTTTCATTGGAAAGCTGAGGTTTTTTCCGATGAGCTATGTAAATATGAAAATGGGACAACAATAATTTTGTGAGAAACAGAATATTAAAGTAGGTGGTGCCGATAAGGGGTATACCTGGAGATCATCTTTGAGGATTTAGGTAGGCACCACCTAATTTAATATTATGTTTCTTACAAAATTATTGTTGTCCCACTTTCGTATTTACATAGCTCATGGGAAAAAACCTCAGCTTTCCAATGAAAATAAAAAAAAAAATTCTCGAAGGGGTGAAAATCGAAAAATAAGGGTTGATTTTGAAAAAAAGGGGTTTAAAAATTTTTTTTTTAAATTTCGTATACATTTTTGAAAAGTACGTGAAAAATGCATTAAAATTCATTATTGATCATTTAAAATCCTTAAACTTTTGTCATAGTTATACGGATTTGAAAATGACAATGTTACCCTTAACGTCAAAACTTCAACCCCCTCTACTTTCTACAAATATTTTTTTAATGAGTTTATATTTTAGGGATTTATTACTATCATATAGGAGAACAATTTACCAAAGTATGAAGCCAATCCCAGAACATTGACTTTTTGGGCTGGGGCGATTGAAAAAGAATCTCTCATATATGAAATAGTGAAAAGATGTACCCATTGAGAAATGATTCATAAAAATTGATTAAGATTGTCAATGTTATTGAAGCATAAATAAATTTGTTAATTAATAAATATTTTAATATTTTTAAACTGAAAATTTTTTTTCTTTTCAATTTATTGAAACAAGTAAATTTTTTTTGTTTGAAAAATGTTGATTTTTTTATAACTTTATAATTTTTTTTAACTTTAGACAAATCTTCATATTTTATTCAACTTTAAAGTAATTGATATTTGACTTACGTAAAGTGTAAGTGTACTTATGTTTCTTTGTAAAAAAAATTTAATATTTTTATTATTAATCTATTAATGTTGAAGCAGATTGTGTACAATTATTTATTATTTTATATTTTAGGGGTAATATTAATTGTTCTTGGGGCATTTTATTAAATGAAGAATATTCGTGTATTGGTTTCATATATGTAGAAGGCTACATAACTAAACGAAAAATAATAATAAATTTCAGTATTATATCAATATGAATTTTTGAACAAAAATTATATGTATTATATATAAATTATTTTTTTGTAGTATGTAACAAAACATGATAGATAGTTGAGGAATATTTGATAAATTAACTGACAATATTCTTCCATTAATTTAAAAAAACATTTCTTTTTTTTTGTTTCATATATCTATATTGTACCAGCATCTCTGTCGATAACGTATGGTTCTCATAATTCATCTTACGAGTGGATCTATGCATAACAGGTGCTCACTTGCTGAGAATTAACGAATGTCCAACGTAAATCATATAGCGGCGTCAAACCAAAATCTCGACTAGAGTGAATGTCAGAGAGAAGGTATGGTAAAATTTACAATTCTTTATCTAGAAACATATATATATATATATTATATATAGTTTATTCAACAAAAATAAATTTGTTTTTAAATTATTAAAAAAAATATTATTAACCAAATTTTTAAAGTTAATCTAAGACAATAATTATTCGTGTAAATAGAATATTATAATTAACATTGCTTTTATTAAAAAATTAAGAGATTAAAATTCTTATTATTTGCAGAAATTTTTATGGACAAATCACTTATTCCTGTTGATACATTAAATATACATGATATTGAAGAAAAGGAAATTTTATCGTTCAGACAATTGGAAATAACTTTAAATCAACTAAAAAGAAGAAAATACATATTGCCATATGCTCCATATTTGTTCATTCGAGGTAAAACAGTAATGTGCAAAATTATAGAGGAATTTGAAGATACACCAAACTTGTGGCAGCATTCTCCTTCACAGACAAGATTTAATTATCGAACGTACAAGGGGAAGTTCCAAGATGGAAAATAACTATACAAGGGAAATTAATGAGGCTATTGTACAACATAAAATGAAGTAATTTTCTTTGTTAGTGATAAAAAAAAATTTTAATTAATTCATCAAAGGTCACGTCTAAAATGGCTCATTTATTAGTTTATATATACTCCTATATATGTATGTACATCATTTTCACTTTAAGTAATTTATTTATCAATTATCGCGCGTATTAAACAGCTTATTCTTTATTTATAAACGGATATATGATTATATATTTAAGACTTAGTGATATCAAAAATAATCAAATGCTTATTTATTGTTAGAGGTTTAAAATTTTAAATTACAGTGGAATCCGCTTAGTATGACTCCGCTTACAATGACCAACCGGTTATTATGTCGCACTTATAACAATATGTTTGGTCTGTGTATAAATTATATAGAATTTAGTCCGTTTATAATGACATCGGTTATAATGACAAACCGCTTACATTGACGTAGTTTTAAGTAAATCAATCCGTTTATAATGACAAATTTCAATTAACAGTTGTATTTATTTTCGATATTTCTCTATTGTCTAGCATCACTTAGCGTTTCATGAGACTGTTTTGATCCGTAGTTTTAAATTGTTAGTGATATTGTGAACAGTTTTAGTGAATTTGCTCTGAAAATGGCTTCACATCGGAAAGCTTTCACGATAGAAGAAAAAGGTGCAATTATCTGCAGGCTAGAAAACGGAGAATCAAATTCGTCGTTGGCCAAAGAATTTGGGGTTGGACATTCAACAATATCAATGATTAACAAAAACAAAACAAAAATTAAAGAATCTTTCAATTCTAATGTGTTGAAGTCGAAGAGACTTATTCGCAAGTGTACACGAGAAAATGTCGATAAGGCTTTAGTGCAGTGGTTTAAACAAATAAGAAACCAAGTAATACCAGTTAGTGGCCCCATGTTAAGGGAGAAAGCAAATTTTTTTACAACTCAATTTAACATTGTTAATTTTGATTGTAGTCTCAGCTGGATAAGCCGTTTTAAAGCAAGACATAATATTGTGTCAGGAACAATAGCCGGTGAATCATCATCAGTTGAACAAAACATCGTTACAGAATGGTTAACAACAGTGTGGCCAAATTTACGGAAACAATTTTCCGATGAAAACATATTTAATGCGGATGAAACTGGTCTTTTTTATAAAATGATGCCTGACAGAATTTTAAAGTTCAAAGGCGAGTCCTGTAGTGGTGGTAAAATGTCGAAAGAGAGGATAACCGTAATGGTAACAGGAAACTTAACTGATACAATAAAAAAGAAACTGTTGGTTATTGGGAAATCGCAAAGGCCAAGATGTTTTAAGGGTGTTAAATCATTACCAGTTGATTATGCAAACAACCGCAGGGCTTGGATGACATCAGATCTTTTTGAGAAATGGGTGAAAATGTTTAATAACAATAAAATTAACAAAAAGGCAATAAATTCGATAGTGAAAATGTTTTTATATTACCTTCTTAACGTTTTCTTAATTATTAAGCATTTTATATAAGCGCGCTTTTTTCGACCTATAAGATGGAATAGGGGGAATCATTAAACGATTGGTAAGAAAAGAATCATTACAAAATATTAATGGTAAAAAGACAATAAACAGTGTAGAAGAAATGTTCACTTTTTTTTATTAAAGTGGATGAAGATTATGTGAATGAAATTTCACTAGAGTTATCAGAACGATTTTTAAAAGTTAAAACAATTAAAGGTTGCCGAGAATATCATTATTTTATTCCAGAATCGGAATTCAAAATAAAAAACATATAGGACATCCAAATCATTGAAATTTAAAATTGAAGATATACAAGAGTCGTCAGAAAATCCGACAATGAAAAGAAAATATAAAAGAAGGAGCAAATCACTGAACTATATGTAAATTATAAATTATTGTATTAAAATAGAAATTTCAAATTTAAAAAACAATTACTTTATAATGTAAAAAATAGTCAAGAACTGATATAAACATTAATTTCTATTTTTATATTAAAGTAAAACTCTATTTTCTATTCAATTTCAATTTATTTTTAATATAACATTGTTATAGATAGATAAAGATCTAGAAAGGATAAGATCTAGATCTTAAGGAATCTTCAGAGTTTTTAGAACGAGAGGAAGGATTTTGCATTTGGTCGGAACAAGCTGAAGAATCAATTCATCACCAGTTTTTAAAGTTTTGGAACAGGAGAAAATTAAATGATATTATGAATTGAATTAAATTATGGATTAAAATAATTTTTAATCGTTTGAAAGACGGTTATTTTTTCAACCACTAAAAAGGAGCAATTCTCTCCCAAATGAACAGCTAACCTCAGAAATAGAATTTTTGTTCTCACGCAAGGGTTTACTAAAAAAATGTATAGGGCATTTTTTGTGATTTAAAGAGTTTTTCAAAAAATGAAAATTGAAATTAATTTAATTAAAAAATTAAAAAAAAATTAATTTAATTTAAAAAATTTATCAATTTTTAAATTTAGGCTGGTAAAGAATATCCTAATTTAAAATCTCATGCAATTATTATTTTTAATTCTTGCAATAAGATTAATTTTCTTAATTTTTATTTATTAAATTAAATTAAAAACATTTATTTCCCTTTATAAATTATTTTAACATTAAATTAGATGATTTGTTTTTAAAGTTGTTATTTATTAAATTAATAGGTTATTTGCAATATTAAAGTATAATTTATTTCGTCACTAGTTAATTATTTAATTTGAAACTAACAGTTGGCAAACATGAAGTTAGAGAATTGATTCCACATTCATGTTGTATTTGTTTGCTACGTAAATAAAATATTTTAGGAAATTGACATGAATTCTATGTCAATGTCCTTATTTAGAGGGGTTATGTTTATAGTTTCTTCTAAATTACCATCTTGCAGTTTAAGTTTTGAAGAAATTGTGTATATGTAAATTATTCCTAAAATGAAAGCAAGAGAATCTTTCAATCTTTATTGTAAAATTTTTGACATTTTTAATAAATACTAATAATATGAAAATTACATAATTATAAGTAGTTGGGATTTTTAAATTTTTTAATTAGAGAAGATAAAGTTATTGTTTATTTTAAATTATAAAGGTGTGGCATTAAAATAATGCAGTGGGTATGATCAATGAAAATATATCTTTGAATACATTATTCAAATTGGTGTAATTTATTTTTATTATTTTTTAATTAACTAAATACACTATTTAATTCTATATAAAATATATGAATATTTAAATATTTTAATTGTTTTGAATTTTATTTTTACGAATTTAGCGATATAATAATTTAATTAAAATATTTAATTTATTCGATTTTGATAAAATAAAATCGAAGATGTTTTTATTTAATAAATAAACATTGTGATTAAATTTCCTTTTTATTTTCAATATATAAACTAATAGAGTGAACATTTTTCATTGTCTCGATTTGTTTCCAAGTATCAATTACCAGTCGCGTAAGGAGTTCAAGGGACAACGTCAGAACACGCCTAGGTTGTTAATAATACTATTACCATCAGCTTCGGGTAAATTGAATAATCTACTAAAAAAAAAAAATGTATAATATCCTTGAAACAAAAGATCCTGAATTAATCTACTCAGTTATATACTCCTGCTATGATTAAGAAAATGACCTTGGAGTAGCGTCGTTTATAATAAGGCGCCATCCTATTTTATAATGATTGAGGATATTGGCACAATGCACACATATATATACTGTATACTCACAAAGTGAATAAAAATAAAAAAAAAGTTATGAAAGAATTTCTTTACTCTCAAGGAGTTATGTCTTTAAGGATTTGTATTATTTTTTTTTTGCGGTCAAGGTTTAATGAGGCGAAGATTATAATAGTACATTATAAATTTTATTATAGAACTATTAAAATTATGTTGAATATGGACACCACACGGAGAAAAATGATTAAGCTGTTTAGCAGCAGAATTTGTATTAGCTGAAATCAATTAGCTGGTTATGCTAACGATTTAACTGATACAGCAAGTTATTTGCTATTGCAGCTAATAGATAATTGCTACCCTCACAACAAAAGGATATCCTAAACTAATGTAGGATATCCTGAAAACGTCCATAGGATATCCTAGGATATCCTCAGAACATCCAAACCGCCGTTACGTAGGACATTTTTTGGGATATTCTGGGGATATCCTGAGGATATTTTAGGGATATCCTGAGGATATTCCAGGGAAATCCTAGTGATATCGTGGGGATATTCTTGGGATAAACTTGGTATATCGTTAAAATATTCTAGAAATATCGCTAAGATCTCTCTAGGATATCATTATGATTCAAATTTTGATTATTTGAGATAGCGCTTTTTTTATACAAATAGGTTTCCCGTGATTGTCAATCATCTTTCAAATCTGGGCCTTAAAGTTGATAATTAGAGCATATATTTTAGCCAAAAATGCGATTTTCGACACTTTAAATTCGTTTTTTATGGGACTGACCGAATATTTAAAACGACTCAAGGATATTCTAACCCATAAGATAATATAGACATACTGTGGATATCCTTAGGACGTCCTAAGGACATCCCTAATTATTCCAGGGATATCCTTGGGATATTCTGAGGACGTCCTGAGGATATCCTTGGGACGTTTTAAGGATATCCATAGGATATCCTATTAATATCCGGGGAAATGATTAGGATATCCCTGAGATGTCCCTAGGATATCCTAACCGCCGCTACTATGGATATCCTTAAAGTATCCTTAGGATATTCCTGGGGTATCCCTAGGATATCCAAGGGATGTTTTTGGAATATCCTAGAATATCTGGTACTGTGAGGGTACATTTGATGAGAAGTATTATAGCTTTAATCCTTAGTTACAACAGTTAACTGTGGAAAAGTTTTGTTAAATGCAGTGATATATTAGTAAGTAAATATTAATTATTATTCAAAAATATTGAATGAAGAACTAGTGCAACTTAACCTAAAAATGAAAATTAAATTTTGATTATTACAACAAAATTTTTATATAAAATAAAAGAAAATATTAAAAATAAATTTCTTTCTATAATTCATAATTTTTGTCATTAGAAGAAATAATTTTAAAAAGTAAGAACCATATGAGCCTTACGTCTGAGAAGAGTGTGAAAAAGTTATTTACCGAGAAAAGATTAAAGTTGGAATTTTGGGATAATTTTAAAAAATGTTAATATCTAACAAAACCTCTTCATTTTGATAAGGATTTTTTCCCACTATTTCATCAGCTTTCATCAGAAAAAAAAACCCGGAGAAAAATTTTAGTTTTTTTTATATTTTTCACACTTTTAATGTTATCTTTCAGTTCAGTAGAAAATGCAATTCCCTGCTGTAGTGCATTTTATAATTTTTAATTAATAACGTAATTAGGATCAAATTTAACATTTTGTTATAGTTAACCTCGTTGTTAATTAACATGCGAGTGAACGGCTTTTGTTTTACCTAAAAAAAAAAGAAATAATAATAAATATTATAATATTGTTTACGTATAATAATTCATGCACAAAAAGTGGATTCAATTGATTTCATTAGAGGTAAAATTATTTCCGTGGAATAGCAATTTAATAATAAAATTTTAATTACCACTCCCTCTTTTTTATACATTTTTCATTTACAAATGTGTATATTTAATTTTTTAAACACGGATATGTTTTTCTTTATTAAATAATTCTAATAATCTTAACTTGAAATTAATAAAATTTTTAATTAATAATTTATTAAAAACTTGAAAATTTGATTAAGAATTTTTTATTAATAAAAGGAAATTTAGTGACAATGATGTCATATATAAAATCTTGTTCCTATATTGAAATTTATCATATACATATATGAAATAAGTAGTATAAGTCAATGTGAAACGAAGAAGACAGCTGAGAATTCAGAGCAGTAGAACTATGACTTTATAGTCAGACATGATGGCCATTTGAATGAGAAATTAAATACATAATTTTTCTTTACAGAATTTTTTAATTTCCTCCTAATAATTTTACAATTAGTTTTTCTAATTTTCAAATATATTTAAATAACTATAATAATAGTTTTTCTATTAAATTGCAATTAATTTCGCCAAAACCAAAATTTAACGTATAATTAGATAAAGCATAGATAAAAATTAATGATAATGAATAATAATGAAATATTAACAACTTTTTTGCAATGACAAGACAATTGCGTTTCGACTATTTATTATGTAACTCATAATTTATTATTAAATGTAATTTAATTAATGTAACCTTTTCTTACAGTGTCTAATGAGAATGACGAATCATGATAGCTTTAATGTTACAAAAAACCCATTTGTTGTGACGTTTTCGCATAAAAGCAATATCAGCTGTAAGCAAAATTGTCAAGTAAGCGATAAAGCAGCGAGAAGAAGAGGAGGAATTTAATTAAAAATTAATTATCCATCGAGCAAATTAAGAAGGAGATGCGCAAGATGCTTAAGTGTTGAAAAGGTTCAAAAGAACGTCAATAGAACGATTATGGAAAGTATGAAGAACCTGGTATCTTTATAAGAACTGGTATCCTTTATACAAGTAGCCATGACGAAATACCCAGTACACCTTATTAAAAAAAATAATCTTCATTCTAGAGGATTCCTCTAAATGTAATGCATATTTTCCTCTTAATTTTGGTATCAAAAGTAATAATCTTAATTTAGAAGGATTTTCCTCTTGAAAAAAACCTCTTAAAGGAAGAATAATATTCTATAATATTTTGACAAGTTGAAAATAACCGTAATACACAGGTTTTGAATAAATTATTAGACCACAATAATGGTTATGTATTGATAATAAAGTACAGTTTTGATACATGTTCTAGTCGAAATCCATTATCACGTTGGGAAGCTTAGGGATATTTCTACATGGGTTATTTTATGAGTTTTTGGAAGGCCTAAGGAAAATGATAAATCAAATCATCGAAACGTCGCAACTTGGCAAAATAACATAAATTTGTTTTATGTTTTTTACCTTCCATTGATCGAATTTTACTTCTCATCAAAATATACACTTGGAAGGGAGTATCGCAAAATAAAGATTCCTGTCAAAATGCAATAAAATTATTCGGATTGCGTAGATCACTTCGTCTTAACTTTTAACTCATCCAAAAAGATGAGTGTTTTGTTATATTGATATTATCATTGATTCCAATGGACGCTATTAAATTATCGTGATTAAACCTTATTAGAATTAGAAGAAAGATCAGACAAGAAGGCATTTACAAAGAAGGAAATAAGGAATGTAGAAGAGTTAGATTATACAACATTGAAGATCATCGATTACTTCATCCAAAAGTCCTGGAGGCACGATATCTTAAACCACCATCAGATAATAAATATTTAATGGTTTTTGGATCCAAAGAAGAAAGCGGAATTTTCAAAGTCTTCAGGACAATTCTAATCGAATACAAAAATGGCTCAAGAAAATGAAAGTAGGTCAAAAGAAGAACGGCATTAAATAGTCACAATATTGTCTCTCACCTTCACCTACAAAAGTTTAAAGCCTACAATTTAAAGTTCCACCCTTCTATAATTTTATTACTCTCTCGACCCTAAATCATAAAAATCTCAATAATACAAAAACACAATAAAGTCTAATAAATTTAATCAACCGAGTTTCTGAAATCGCAAGTATCGTATTATTGTTTCGAAACAGATACATATAAAATGTAATTTAAAATCCGTTTAATTTCACCTTTTAAATTTTGTTTTCAAACCCTATTGTTAAAGATAGTCAATTTAGTTTTCAAAAAAAAAAAAAAAAAAAACCTTCGTAAAAACGAAATCATTCGATCAGGGTAGAAAAGGATTAGCTTAAGGAAAGGGTCAGATCAATTTGAACATAATCTTACAGCTCTAATGGTGAGACACTGACATTTAAAATCATTGTCTGACAAAGTGAACGCAATATTCACGATGAGATCCACGCCTTTATTGGAAGCATTATTAATTTTACATTATATTTATATGGTATATGTTTGACCACCAACAATAGTGGGAAAGTTCTTTATTTAATTATTATTATAGAACTTATAGTTTTTCCTATGAAATGTTTAACATCCGATGATGTTAGATTATACTTCATTCTTGGCAATAGATGGCGTTAGTATCATTTTTTCGAAATTTTTTTATTCGTTTACCAAAATATATTTTATAAAGTATTTTATATTTATTCTATAAAAATATTGATATCTATTTAATTTTTTGGATTTTTTAATTTTTTAATTAAAAAATTTTCATTTGGAAAAAAAATGAAAGAAATGTGTATAATTTACTAGTTAACCAGTTGGTTTTCATGAGTAAAGAAGATTTAGAGCACAATCACATATTTCGTAATGTTTTAAAGGTCGAGTTCGCGACTTCGAGACGAACGACCCATCCTTGGTAGAGTGCAGAGATCACATTAATTGCAGGGAATGTTCTATGTAAGGTCCTTGCAATCCTAGTTTTCTACTCGGTGTCTTTCTACTGCAGTACCGAGTCTCTCTCCTCATATTCATCTATCTCACTCCCTCTAAAGACATAAATGCTTCTTCGAGGTAACGGAGCGTGTGAAAATCGAGACACGATTAACGTGCTACCTACAAGAATCATTACAATGAATCAGTTCAAGATTTGTTCTCTCTCTCTCTCTCATTTTTTTTTCCTAAACATCAATTTTACTTGCTTTTGTGAAAAACAAAATTATTTTTTTAAAAATTTTTTTCAAAACATATTTTTTAACTTTTTATTTTCAAAAACAATTCTAAAAGTGTTTGCTAAAAGTTCTTTTGCCCTCTGTTATAATTTAATAAAAAAAAAAATTTCGAATGATTTCACTCGAAGCAAATTTGTAATAACTTTATTTCAATTTAAAGAAAAAATATTGAAATATTTTTCTCTATTTACACAAACTTCATGTATATTTTGATCTATCAAATGTTTTCTATATGAAACATTTGTTTTATTCGTCAAAAAAAAAACTAAAAAATGAATTCAAGAGCTTAATGCTTTTCTAGAGCATAAAGCTGTGGGAATTTAAAAATGAGAACAACTTTTTCGTGATAACTGAAGCGATACTTTAAAAGAAACTATCACTGTAGAATACACAGTCGAGCATAATGCATTGTTGACTGTATAAAGCTTGTAAAAAAAAATATATACAATACACGGAATTTTTTTTTTATACAGAACGAATGAATAATAAAAAGAATAAAGTCAAATATAATGTCAAAGTATTTTTTGAATCGAACAATTTTTTATATTGATAATTCACTGGAAACAGGTCACTTTCGTGGTATAGAATAAAAGAAAAATTATAAGTACTAGAAAAATACACTGTGCTTATTCAAAATTTGGCACCTATCAGATAATCCTTATTATGGCCTTCAAAAACAAAAAATTTCCGCCATATTGGATCCGACATTTTGAATTTTTAAAAATTGACTCCAAATTTGTAATTAGCGACCCCAAAAACCCCCGAGTGACGTGTTTCAGGTAAATCAGATTAATTTTTTAATTTTTTTTCCGCCATATTGGATCCGCCATTTTGAATTTTTTAAAAATTTACTTTAAATTTGTATTCAGTGACCCCAAAAACCCCCCGAGTAACGTGTTTCAAAGTATTACGAACGATTTTTAAGTTTTTTCTTCCGCCATATTAGATCCGCCATTTTGAATTTTAAAAAATTGACATCAAATTCATAACCAGCGACCCCAAAAACTCCCAACTAACGAGTTTTAAGTGAATTTGACGCTCTGTGATTAGGAAAAAAGTGTTTTTTTTTCGTAGTTGATAAAAAAAAATGTAAAATTGCGAATATTTTGAAAATTTGACCTAATTTCACCTTTAAGCTGTGGGATTGGTCGATATATCGACCACTCAAGAAACACAACATATTTAATGTTTCTAGACAAAATTCAATTTTAAATTTTGAAAAACTAACATCAGATTCGTAATCAGCGACCCCGAAAACCCCCGAGTACCAATTTTTAGCCGGATTCGGTTTTTTTTATTGCACATTTTTTTGACTGCGGGGGTGTGGTGGTCTATATATCGACCAACAATCATGTCGGGGACTCTACCTGATATATCCAGTTAATTTATGTATAAATTTTGGATTTTATGACAGGTCAATTTTTACTAAAATTTTCCCGCAGCTAAAAGGTTAAAAAAAACAGTTAACGTCATTAAATTCAGCGTACACAAATTAGGTGTACCTGACAAGTTTGTTAAAAAAAAAAAAATTCGCGATTCGAGCACAGTGTTATTATATTTTAAATGCACTGGTAAAATTATTAAATGTGAACTTTTTAGGTCAACTAAATGTTAAAATAAAGTTTTGTAGCTAAAAAAAAAAGTTTGAATCAATCTGAAAATTTTTTCCACAGTTAACGAAGGAATGTCTACTGACTGACATACAGACAGACAGGGTAATTATAAATTTATATATTTTTTTAAAATCTTTTCATTTCCAGCGTAAAATTAAAATTTTTTCCAACTATTTAACTTTATCAATAACAAGTGTAAATACCTAATTATTTATATATATAAAACGTGGTTACATTTTTGTTTAATTTCATAAAAATTGAATATATAATAAATGTTATTCAATTTCTATATACCTACTTAAAAAATTGTAACTGAACAATTTTTTTAGAATGATAAGTAAAAGTTAAATTTTTTAAAAAATAAATTATCTAACAAAATTAACAAAAATAAGTACTTTTTTGTCACCTTGGTATATTCAAAATAAGTTTGAAGTCATATTTTCGAAATTCAAAATGGCGGATCAAATATGGTAGACATTTTTTAAAAAAAATTGATTAAATTACTTTGTATTTTGTTATTTGGTAATTTTTGTGATTGTTGATTACGAATTTGCTTCCATATTTCCACAATTCAAAATGGTGAATCCAAGATGGCGAAAATTGTTTTAAAAATTGATTAGATTTGCATAAAATTTATTACTCGGAAGTTGTTTGAGTCACTAGTTACAAATTTGGTTCCACATTTTCAAAATTCAAAATGGCGGATCCAATATGGCGGAAATTTTCTGTGATTGAATTTGGTTGAAATTTGTTACTCGGGGGGTTTCCCAGGTCGGTGAATACGAATTTACTATCAGATTTTCAAAATTCAAAATGGTAGATCCAAAATGGCAGACATTTAAAAAAAAATTAAGTCAAATTGTTTGCAATTTGTTACATGCAGATGTTTCGAGTCACTGATTACGAATTTGATATCATATTTTCAAAATTTATAATGTCGGATCAAATATATAGTTGAAACTTTTTTTATAAATTGATTAGATATGCTTGAAATTAATTACTTGATGGTTTTTCGTGCCACTGATTACGAATTTACTATCAAATTTTCAAAATTCAAAATGGCGGATCCAATATGGCGGACGAATTTTTAAAAATTCATCGGATTCACTTGGAATACGTTACTTGGGGGTTTTTTGGGTCGCTAATTAGGAATTTAAAGTCAATTTTTTAAAATTCAAAATGGCAGACAATATGGCGGGAATTTAAAAAAAAAATAATTGGATTTGCATAAAATTTATTACTCGGGGGGATTTCAAATATGGCGGTTTTTTAAAAATTTGTATTGAACTTGATTAAAATTTGTCATTTGAGGATTTTTCTGATCGCTGATGACGAATCTGACATTAAATTCGTGATTACTGATTCAGTCAACGGGAGAATTTTTTTTTTTTTATTAAAACTGCTAAATATTTAAATTGTTAATAATATCAACAAATAAAATCATTTGGTCTAATAATTTCAGAAACTTATTGCACGATCAAACTAGACATGGAAAAAATAATTTTTCATAAAAAATGAATAATTTTTTTTAATTTTAATTTTAGTTGATCTGTTTCGAGAAATTCTGACACAACATTGAAATGTTGTTATTATTATCATCAGAGTGCGAAGGCCATTATTGTGAACCTAAAGGCTAATTTTCTTCTTTCTATATTATCATCGAGAGGAGAGGAAGGTGTGTCGATTATTGCGACCTTCTTGCACAATGGGTGAGTCTCCCATCAGCGGATATGATTTGAAGGGATCAGCGGGGGCGCGGTAAAGATCCTAGTAAGGTATATAAAAGATCGTAGCATCGACCGTCTTAAGCACATTCAACAATCGAGAGAGTGAGTCAACAAGATGAAGATCCTTGTAAGTAACAAGTTGAATGAAAGTGTATATCCCCGCGCGTATATAAATTCAATTCATCCCCTAAACTTTTCGTTCCTCTATATCTATCATCGCTTCTTTGAAATCAGTTTTTTTCAATCGGTCTATTGAAAGTGTGAAATAAAGTGTTAAAAAAAAAGTGGATTTTCTTTGAAAAAAAAAAAAAAAAAAAATTGTAAAAATTTATTTTAAGCGCAAAAATCAGTGGTAAAAAGAAACAATTGTGTTTTTTATAAAATAAACTTTTTTTGACAATCGGGATAATAATTCTAATGTGTGATTAAAATTAATATGGAAAAAAAAATTAATGAAGTGTATGTGTGTGTGTGATAAAAACTATAATGTTAAAATTAAAATAATCATCGTTCGATGATTAATGAAAAAAAAAATTTATGAATTAATTTAAATCAGAAATGGAAATAAAATAAAGGTGGAAAAATTTCCAACTTTGTTCTAGTTAAAAAGTGGAGTTCATATGAGCTTTTGAGTTTACTTAATTTTTTTCACTGTTTTTTTTTTTTTTACTTTAATTGTTATTAAAAATTACAATATTGATAATATGCTTATCTATTTTTATATAATTATCAAAAAAACAAATCATTATTACACTAAACTCTCGCATACTGACGAATTGTCGTAATTTTCTTACTCTTTGAAGTTTGCAAACTGAGGAAATTAATTAATTTCCACTTTATTTTTTTCTTATTTAATAAAAAAAAAAGTTTTTTTATGTTAATTGATAATTGATAATTGAATCCATTTAAAAGTGGACTGAATAATAAATGACAAAATTATTTAAGAAAATAATTGTTATAAACAATTATTGAATATGTCATTAATTATTAATATTAACAGAACTGCATTAAAATTTGCCTGACCTAATTTACTAACTACAATCTGATTATTATGTTTCATCAAAAAAAGCATGTTCATGAATTTTATAAATTTTATTTATTTAGAATTGTTTATAAAATTAACAAATTTAATAATTAAATTATATTAACTAGTGAACAGTATAATGACTGATGCAGGATCTTTGTTTTCTAATTGCACCAGTAACATTTATTCATTAATTTCTATTTATTAATTTAATTTGTTTATAACATTTATAAAAAGAACTTCCTAAACAATATTCATTAATAAATATTACTAGTAATAGAATTTCAAAAACAATGAGAAAAAAACGATATTGTTTCGATCAATTATAAATAAGCGAGCTGCTTATTTCTTAACTAAATATAATTGCTAAAATTCGTTAATTGTATAAACAAATTGTTTTTTTTTACTAAAGAGTAATAATAATAATTATAAATAATTATATTTTAATTAATAAATTAAGTTAATCATTCTTAACAAAAAAAAGGTACTGTAAATATTTATTCTCAATTGTATTTGACAATTGTTAATGTAAATTGTTTATAACAATAGAAAAGGTAAAATAACGATAGCAACAGATTTAAATTTTAATTTCAATAAAAAATCAACGTTTTAAAGAATAAAGGACTTTCTCCTCTGGTTCAGAAATATTATTTATTTATTATCATTTTATCTATTTATTATTATTATTATTATTAATAATTTATTATTTTCTTCTTTTAGACATAAAATTTATTAATTAAAATAAAATAATTTTCTCTGAAGCTATCGTTATTTCACTGAAGTATTATTTAAAAATTTTTTTATTTATAACAATTAATTTATAAATAAATTGTTATTTATCAAATAGGCATCGTTAGTATGCAAGGCAAGTCACATGAATAAATTCGGCAGAGTAAGAGGTTCGTCAGTTTGCGAATTCTTCAGTGTGCAATGGTTGATTGCATCGAATTTTAATGCCAATTTTTTTAAAAACATAAACAATGACAGTGAAATTAAGTAAAAAAAAGAATAATACAAAATTTTGTCTCCTTAAAATTTGTAATGAGAAAAATTTTTTTTAAAAAACCAGTTATTTAAATAAAACTTAATCTCTACTTAAGAAAAAAGTTTTTGGATTACCTAGTATATATATGCTTTTGCGTAGATAATCTCCTTGGCATTTTTGGCTGCTGCTTCTGCCGCACCGGCTTATGGGGGTTACGGTGGTCACGGTGTTTACGGTGGACATGGAATTTACGGTGGCTACGGTGGTTTCGGTCATGGAGCCTATGGCGCTCATGGAGTAGCAATTGGAGGACCTGTTTTGGGTCCTGCCAGTATTGCCGGTCCTCACATTGGACATTCATCTCTCGCTGGTCCTGCCATTGGACCATCTCATCTTGCTGGTTCTGTTGCTGGTCCAGTGCACGTATCAGGTGCCGTTGCAGGTCCAGCTGTTGTAACAGCGTCGGTTGCTGGTCCAGCTCACGTTGAACATTACGGTGGACCCTATGATGGCAGCTATGTTGATGGAGGTAATGGATAAATAGCTGAAAGAAAAATAAATAATTAAATTCTGCTCCTGATCAGAAACGGAGACTTAGTATTTGGATACTGGGGATTTCCATAATTGACTTTTGGTGGTTTAGACATTGATGGATATTCTAAATAAATAAATTCTGCACCTGAACAGAAACGGAGACTTTCACAGTATTTGAAGTTTTCTATCTGCTTTTGGGGATTGATTCATTGATGGATATCCAAAACAAATAATTAAATTCTTTTCTTGAGTAGAAACGGAGACTTTCGCAGTATCCGGATTCTTGGGATTTCCATTTGTTATTAGCGATTTAAAAATTGATATTCATTACAAAACAAATAATTAAATTTTTCTCTTGAACAGAAACGGAGACTTGTGGTTCCCATCTGCCTTTGGGGATTTAAACATTGATGGTTACACAAAATAAATAATTAAATTCTTCTCCTGAATAGAAACGGAGACTTTTACAGTATCCGGATACTTTCAGACAATTAGGGTTTCCATTTGTCTATTTGGAATTTAGAAATTGATGAATATGCACAATAAATAATTAAATAATTCTCCTGAACATAAACGGAGACTTTTACAGTATCCGGATAGTTGGAATTTCCATCTTAATTTTTGGGGTTTAGCCATTGATGCATATTCAAAATAAATAATTAAATTTTTCTCCTAAACTGAAACGGAGACTTTTACAGTATCTAGATGCTTGGGATTTCCGTCTGCTTTCGGCAGTTTAGATAACGATAAATATCCAAATTAAATAATTAAATTCTGTTCCTGAAAAGAAACGGAGACTTTCATAGTATTCAGACAGTTAGGGTTTCCATTTGTCTATTAGGAATTTAGAAATTGATGAATCTGCAAATAAATAACTAAATTCTTCTCCTGAACATAAACGGATACTTATTAGATTTGAATTACGTTCTTTCATATTTAATTTGTATTGGTGATATATAAATGATCAGTGGAAGGTAGATAGAATAAAAAATTCTGTTTAATTCATTTAGCAACGTTTCATCGACCAAGGTTAGAAACGGAGACTTTTACAGTATCCGAATACTTAGTGTTTTCATATGCTTTTGAGGGTTTTAACATTGATGGATAGCAAAAATAATTAAATTATGCATCTGGACATAAACGGTGACTTTTACAGTTTCCGGATACTTGAGATTTCTATCTGCTTTGGACAGTTTAGATATCGATGTATATCCAAAATAAATAATTAAATTCAGCTCCTCAACAGAAACGAAGACTTTCACAGGGGTTTCTATTAGTAATTTAGAAATTGATGAATCTGCAAAATAAATAATTAAATTCTTCTCCTGAACATAAACGGAGACCTTTACAGTATCCGGATATATGGAATTTCCATCTTAATTTTTGGGGTTTAGTTATTGATGCATATTTAAAAATAAATAATTAAATTTTTCTCCTAAACAGAAACGGAGACTTTTACAGTATCCGGATGCTTGGGATTTCCATCTGCTTTCGGCGGTTTAGATATTTACGGATATCCAAATCACCAAAAGACACTGGATGTTCTAAATATCCCGGTGCTAGATTAGGAGTAGTAATTACTACTCTCCTTTTACTTTACATAAGTAAAGTCCAGAAAAAGGAGATTAGAGATTAAAAATCAAATTAGAGAAAACGTAAAATGATTTTTAATGTATTACCATTTTTTGAAGGATTCGGTTATGGTTATGGAGGTCACGGTCATGGAGCTGGAATTATTGCTGGTGTAGGACATCATGGAGCAGTTTTCCAAGGTCCAGCTTATCATGGAGCTGTTTTTGCTGGTCCTGCAACGCATGGTGCAATTCTCACTGGTCCATCATCACATGGTGCAGTATTGTCTGGACCACATGCTGGTAGTGCTGCTGTTTCTGGACCACACGCTGGTTCCGTTGTTATTGCTGGTCCATCTGGAAAAATTACAGCTCATGGTAGCGGTGTTGGAGCCATTCATGCTGGTTATGGTCATGGACATCATTGGTAAAAAAAAAAGAAAGAAACCAGTATTCTATATAGTAAAATAGAAAACAAAAAAAAAGACTTAAGTGCGATTCACTATAATTAGCAAAAATCATCTTTGATAAAAAAAAAAAGTATATATTTCTTATACTTTCTGTTAAAATCTGACATATCCGAGCAAATGCATTTATTAGTTATGTATAATTCTATATAATTAGAGAATATTAACAAATTGTAAAGATTTTTTTTTCCTTTAAGTTTTGCTATATGATGTATGTGATTTTAATGTATGATCGAATTTTTCAGTCAAAATAAAAATTATCCTTTTTATAAATTGATGTATTTTTTTCACCATTTTTTTTTTTTTTGCAAAGAAATATAGAGTTGATGTTTGAAGAGAGTCTAAGTTTTAGTGGAGATATTTACACACCAGGAGCAATAATATAAGTATTATAGTATTGTGGTAAAGGGTAAGGTCAAAAGTAGCGTGATTTACCACAACATAGTTTGAAGAATTATTTTTTCCAACTTTGCTCAATTATCTTTATAAACCATCTTCGCCGATTTACTATAATATTATCTATTGACATTCAAACATTGCGCGCACCATCACATCTTATTGACCCAGTGAACTTTAAATAATTTTTAATGGCAATAAATATATTGATGGAGGCATTTGCAAATTTAATTGTTTATGAATATTTTATTAGAACTTGTTTATAGAAATCAGCTGTATATGCTCAAGTTAGAATTTTAGAAACCTTTCTTGTTTACAAAAATTATTATACTGAAAATTAGATGTTGTTAAATTAGCAGATTAGAAGTAGTGGAATTATTGGCAGATTAGCGGTATTAATTAATAAATGTTTTAACAATTAAAAATGAATTATAGCAAAAAAAAGCAAGGAAGAACATTAAAAATTATTATATTAGGAATTGAATAAATTGAATTGAACAAATTAATTAGAGATGATTTTAATAAAGGTATTGTATTATATGTGTGAAAACCTCATGGGAAAAAGTTTTGTTCGATGCAACTCGTGCAGAAAAAGTGGCATTAACGATAGGTATCGACTGCGTAATCTCTTTCGTTTCATCATCGGAGACGTAGTTACATTGTGAGAGTGCACTGAACCTCTACACAAATTCCTAAAGGTCACCCATTACTTGATGTCGACCGTTCTTAAGACAATTTAAAAAGAAGAAGACTACTATACCAATACAAAAAAAAATGGTCTAGTTTAAAATCTCATCAAAAATAATAATTTACATTTAGCGCAAAACAGATGTTTTTATCAATTACCGCATTGTTGCCAATAAATCTATACTATATTACCACTACTAGCTGATAATTTACTATAGGCATTTACGGTTAAATTAAAAGCATGTCTGATGAAAATCATCACCTTTATTATCGAATTATTATAACACGTTTACTTTACATTAAGATAAATTTATAGTCATGATTCTCATATAATTTTACGTTAGCATTTCAATATGAATATTTCTCAACTGATTAAAAAAACCAATCATGATGTGGATTTTTTCTTCTTCTTTTAAACGAGTTGGAAATTTATTATTTTATAAATTAATGTCAAGGACGATTATTTATATATATTTGTAAATTATTATTTGTTTACTTGTAAAAAAAAGTTATCATTCAATAATATTCCGTATGTGGAATGTCATGGTATTTATATATCCTATTTATATATTGAAATAGTAAAGTTTCTTCAAGTATTGGCAAAGCGGTACTTAATGTTTTTTTTTTATTTAAATGGATTATTAAGAAATTTTTAATTTTGCTCTTTTCGATAAAAACTTTATTGAACTTATTAATTTTTCTCAGATTTTTTAATATTTTTTTTTCTGTAATCTACAAGTGGAAATATAAATTTTAACCAAATTTTAGCTTATTGGATCAAAATGGCAAAACTCAAGTTAAAGTCGACATGGTTTAGACTTTTAGAGAATATGGAAAAAAATTTTAAAAATTAATATTAATTCTATATAAAAAATAAAATGCTTAGTTTATTTTTTAAAATTCAAAATGGCGGATTCAATATGGCGGACGAATTTTTGAAAATTCATCGCTTTTACTTGAAACACGTTACTAGGGGATTTTTGGGATCACTGATTATGAATCTGATGTCAGTTTTTCAAAATTCAACATGGCGGCTCCAATATAACGGAAAAATTTATTAAATTCATTGTATTTACATGTAGCTTATAATTCGGGGAATTTAATAGTCACTAATTCCGATTCCGATGTTGGTTTTTCAAAACTCAATATGGCGGATCCAATATGGCGGAAAAAAAAATTAAAAAATTGTTCGAAATACTTTGAAACTTGTTACTCGGGGGTTTTCGAGGTCACTGATTACGAATTTGATGTCAGTTTTTCAAAATTCAAAATGGCTGATCCAATATGGCGGAAGAAAAAACTTAAAAATCGTTCGCGAAATACTTTGAAATTTTGAATCAAGTATTTCTTTATTTTTAATTTATTTTATCTTTTAATAAAAGCAAAAATATTTACTATGACATTAATTTTTACTAAAAAAAAAAATACTGAATTAAACAAAACTTAAGTAGATATTTTCTCGAATTTTTAGGTTTTATTTTTAGATATACATATTTTGATGACTACAATAAGCTCATGAAATTTTATTACTATCCAAAACCACCATTCTCTTGAGATAATCTGGTTTCTAGTAATTCGAAAAGTTTTACAACTAAAATGATTTCCTATGAGGAAGATAATATCGCATGGCTATACTTTCAGCAAAAATCTGTGTCTAATTTTAGTTGTGCGTCTATAATATGACGAAAAAAAAAAGAATTATTATCCATGAAAACTTTTTCTGATGAGTTGAATAAAAATTTGTTTCTAACATAAAATCCACAGTAAAGAAAGGAAATGAATGGAAAAAAAAACACTAACAAACTAACAATTAATATTTTATAAATAATAAATATCAAATAAAATTTTATAAAATTAAATTAAATTGAACAAATTTTTTTTTTTTTAAATAAAATCCACTAAAAAAAAAAAAAAACTTAAGAAAGCACTAAGAATTGAGGATTCAAAAATGGGAACAATTACAATAATTATTTTTATAAGAAAACAATAGTAGAGGGTGGGCAACAATGGATCAGTGGTTTACAGTGGATCATATCAGTTTTCTGAAAAATGATTCAAAAAAACTCTAAATATATATAGTTTACGCATAATATTAACAATTTGGTAGCATTTTTATAATTAATTTTCTATAAAACTGAAATGATCCATTGTAAACCACCGATCCACTGTTTCCCACTTTCCCCTTTACTTATATAAATTTCTTACATACCAATCAATTTGAGAAAAAAAATTGTAATATTCTCTTTACGATAATTATCGCAACCAATAAGAGACGAATACGTGAAATTTATTGATTTAAAATAAATCATGTCGTGTGATGAAATTTATTACCTTTTGTAAGGAAAAGATTATAATAATAAAGATCAATCATTCGGGTGCAGTATCTATATATATATATATATATATATATATCTGCAATTATAAACAGTTCAACAAGTGGAATGTATATATACATTTTGTTGGTAGCGTGCAAGTCAGCAGACTATATAATATATATGAAAGTGTTCAATGACAATAATGATTATCGTGTAAATCAACAAATAGTATTTTGGTCCGGGGTCATGTCACTAATCAACAGGTCATCTATTACTGATACCACGACATTCCAAACGTAAGATTGATTTTTTTTAAAACTGATTTTTATCAAATATATATGTAGAATTCACTTAAGTTGCCTCGATCGTAAAATGCTTTTTACGGCCACATTTACGACCGTGAATTCAGTTTAAACTGAAATATATATACAATATAAAATGAAATAGGAAATGTCACTCTGATTTACTATATAAAATCATTAAATCAATAGAAAAAAAAATTAAAATTTCATTTCCTTAATATTTAGTTTTCGATTTTCTATTACATAATTTGTAAATTAACAGTGAGTGAATAGAGAAAACGTTTGATTTTTATTTATTTCTACTGTAAAGGGAAAATAGTAAAATTTAATTCCAATTTTATTAGCAATTGAAAAAGAAACAGAAAATAACAAATTAATGTCAGTCGAAGAAGATAAGAAAGAAAAAAATTTCTATATAAAGGAATAAACCAGTGGCGCCATCAGAATCTACTTTACCGACTGTACATAGATAGGAAACTAACTGAAAGGAGAAATCATGTCAAGGTCAAATTTTTATTCGCTTATTTTTTTTATTATTCTATATTAATTAATTAATATTGATTATTACTAATAAATAAATAAAAATATATTACAATAAATAAAAAAGAAACAACTTAAAAAAAAATTAAATGAAAATTTTTTTTTAATAATTTATTTTTAAATTTGTATTTCTCTGATTGTAAGAGGAATTTATATTTTTTTTTACAAATACATTATATATATGTTATAACGGTAATTTTCTTTTTCACCTTTGAAAAAAAAAGTTCATGAGAATTTCTTAACGTTGCATACGTGAATAATGTCATGTATCAAAAGATTGAATCTCCATCAATTGTTAGTACTTGATCGATATGCTGCTTAAAGGTTCGTCACAAGATCATGGTGTTATGTAGTAGGGAGTCATTGATCTAGTGCAGTGGAGAACGCGATACGGACATATATACGTTGTACTAGTCGATGTCAGTTCCAAAGCCTACGATAGTTATTTGAACTGACAATGAGAGGTGCCATTGTAGCACTCAAGTACTTACCTCGATCATACGATTCCATTCAACAAAAATGGAGGAAAAAAAAAATTCTTCTTTACTTTCTTCAATGCAAATATTTATTTTTGTATACTTATTTCTTTTTTTTTTGATGACAAACGTTAATCTCATTATTTTAAATCCAAATTCATTTTTGGTCGAATAAAAATTACAATACTGTATCGTTTTGAAAACGATTTATTTTTAGGACGAGACGATGCACGCGCATCCATTGCCAACTGTCGATAAAAAATTTATTTTACGTGTTCCAATATGCTTAAAATTTTAGCTTGTAAATATTATTGAAATTATTAAAAAAAATTTGTTTCGTTAAAGAAAATAAAAATTTTATACTCTCCCAGGTAAAATTTTTTTTTTTATTTTTAGTACACGTGAAAAAAATTTTTATCGACAGTTGGCAATGGATGCGCGCGCATCGTCATGTCGCGAAAAATAGTCGATGCGATTTAGCTATTGTGGAAGAAGCCTAAAGGAGGCCCAAACAGAAAATTTGAATAAATAATTTATAAACAAATTATGTAACCCTT